CCAGAATCATATCTTTTTTCAAAAGAAGAGTTACCCTTTGAACAAATTTTGTGTAAACTTGTTGTCATTAGGAAATGATTTGAGAAACTGTTTCAGAAAGATATATGGAGTGAGAAAAGATAGATCAAATTCTAATGTTGTGGCGATCATTGAAGCCAGTGCAATCACATCGTCGATCTTCTTCCTCCCACCACAATCGTCAAACATTTTCATCGACAGTAGCACAAGATCCCGAGTAGTCTCATTTTATTTCTACTTGCGCCTTTGTGCCGATTTTTCATTCTCTGATTAAATTCATGCTCCTCCAAGTATTTTGCAAGAGAAACAAAGTTTGTTTCTTTCGTTTTAGTTTTATAATTTCTTATGTGTAGTTTTTGGTAATCAACATCTTCCGTCTTTTCATCGCTCTTGTTACTTAGATCCTTATCCCTTTCTCCCTTTGTTTCCTCCTCAAGGATTTTTTCCAGAAACATGGCAAAATCTTGATCACTATCAACCATACTTTCTTTTCTCATTTAAAAGGTGAGGCATTTGTTAACATAATAGAAATTTTCATTTATGCGAGAATAATTGCCGACACTGTAATCGTTTTCATTATTAAACAATTCCATGCAAATTGGTTCATACAAACAAAAAAAAAAAGATATGCAAATTGGTTCACAAGTCTTTTTGTTATTCTAAGAATAGGATTAGCATCCTTGACTTCTTCAAACTGATCTAACTTAATAAGTCTTCTTTTCTTTTGACTATCCTATGAAGCCAAAAACTTCATACATATCGGAGGTTTTACTCCGGCTAGAGCAAGCACTGCCGCCGGTAAAGTCCAAAGCCCTTCGCCACAGATTAGCCCTGAAGCCACCGCGGGAACCATTACCTCTGCTTGCTTCTTGTTCATTTTCTCCCAAACAAATACAAGCAAAGTCCCAACACACATGTCAATCGCGAAATAAGCTCCGACCAGAAACGGAACCGCCATGGCTGTCGGAAGCGGCATGAACCTCCCAATCTTTGCCGGAGTAAGATCTCTAACCACATTGACCATAACCGCAAACCCAAAAAACCCGTAGCACATTTGGAGACAGTGAAGAGGCAGAGCAGAGAAGCCTTGCACCCCAAGAATCGCCATGTTTCTGTAAATCAAAGCGTAAGGAGCCTTGAATTCGCCATTAGGGTTTCCAATGTCGAACGCCTTGTAGAACAAGAAAAAACTCAATGGCGTCACGATGCATCCAACCGCTGTTCCGATTGCTTGGC